CACTCTTTCAAGCACGCATAAAGAGCAAACTGAAGGTCATGAGCTCTATATGGAGAATTGGCATCAACAAAATTTAAGACACGCTTCTATCAATTTCACTACTTAATAGCAGGATGTCTACTCACAATCATAAATTAATCATTCCAATTGAACTTCACAACACTTTCAAACTCTTCTTGATCTCATAACCAGAAATACAATCATGTGTGGCCATTGCGGGTGAAATCTTCTCAAAGCATAGGCTAGCTTCATCAAGTTAAATACTCCATATCATGTAAAACAAATGTAAACTCATGAATCATCATATAAGATGCAATCTATGTAATTTTAATATGGTCATACTTTCAAATAAGAACACGCTATTTTTACTAGATGTAGGACTTGATTGCCATATTCTGAATTTTCTTGAAAAAATATGAAGTTGTTGCACCCTCTCTATTTCTCTCAACTATAACTTGCTATGATTGTTTTGTATTGTTTTAAATTTTTAATTTTACTATAGTAAAGTCTCTCCAAACTTTTAAAGTTTCTCTCTCTTCATACTCTCAAAGTTGTTCACTTGATTATTATCATTAAAAAATTTCACAACCCCATAAACATTTAAAATGTCATCAAATACAAAATCCAACAAAGTATCAGTCAGTTTGACCACCAAAAAAAGTCGACATTGGAAACTACATTTATTGGTTGCAAATCTAGAGCTAAAAAACTCATGAACTACTAAAATCATAAAAATATGGCTTTAGAAATATCTAACATGCAACACGAATCGATGCCAAGGTTTATGTTATGACGTTATCATGACATGCAAACTAGATAACAAATTCATGACAATATTTAGCATCATATTATACATAACAAACTAGTTTGTATTTTAAAAATAGCATAATAATAACATGACTGATACTAAATCAATTATAAAAGAACCAGATGTTCAAAATATTTCAGATTTATAATTTACCAAACAAAAGGACTGATTTCTCATTAGATCTTGGTGGTTGAATAAGATCCGATTTATTGCTCAATCAAATAGATGCAAACACAAACAAGATTAGAAGATTGAAAAAGAAAAAAAAAAAAATTCCAAGAGATCTTATTAAACCCTACTTTTTGTGAAATTGTTTGCTAGCTAACAAAAACAAAAAGGCTTACTTACAAGCTCGAATGATCTTGGGTGAGATTGAGGAGTTCAACAAAATCATTAAGGAGAATGATGTTTAGAGAGTTGGAATAAAAAAAAAACATAAAGATAGTCAACTCACAACAATTTGATGGTGTGTTGGAAAACATACATTGAGGGCTAATACAACACACTGACCATAAATAACTTGAGGAGAAAATGTGCTCACATAAAAATCTCATGTGAGTGCACTAAGAAGATTAATTAAGGGTTAAGATTGCTTGCACAAATCATGAGCATTAATGCATTGGTTGTAGATGACCAAGAAAAAAATATGCTCATCTCTACCCCAATTCTCATACACGCGATGTGATTCAAATGATGTGCCCACGGAAGCGCAACTCTCACAGGAAAGTGGAATTGAAACGGAAAGTGAGGAAAAATATATAGAAAATGGAATAAGAGTGACCAAAATACTTAATAAATAAATATATTATTATTCACTAATTAACTAAGCAAGTTGTACTTAAACTAATTTTAATTAAACAAAATACATAATTTGTTATCAAACTTATGATCAAACATATAACAAGCAACTTATTGAACAACAAATAAAATATTCATGAATTCAAATAATTAAGTTAAATCGTTCTCAAGCTTGACAACTATCACCTTCAAGCATTTAAAAAGTGTTCAAGCTTCTAAATTACTAATTTTAATAAAGTTGAACAAGTATAAGTAAAATTGAGTTCAAGCTATTCAAAGAGTGCATTAATTCATTTGCAATTCTTCTTTGTTCGCTCAAACATCAGAAAAGTCCTAAAAACAGCATCACTAAAGGATTTGCTCTTATAAACTGAAAGAATATGATTCCGGCTAAATATTAAAATTATTATGAAATGTCCCCGCAAAAAAAACTTTCAAGCATGAAAAGTACAAAAAAGATATTTTTCTCCTATTTAAGATGAGTTTTATTGACGATAATTTCAAAATCTACAAGCGTCATTAATGCAACTATATTATCACAACCATTTAGAATTTAGAATTTTGTTATTATCAAAGTTAAAAAAATTATTTTTAAATTTTGCTTTTAATTAATCAAGTAAATTAGTGTTTGTATATACAAGCTCGTGATGCTATTTTATTCCTAATTTTGTTATTATCTTAGGTTTGCAACCATACTGCTTCAACAATAATTGGAGCAGATTGTATTGTTGCATTCTTCCTTCAAGTGTGGATCTTTTGTCAAAGTGTAGCTTCTGTAGGAGCCCCTTTTGTGGTTGTTTTGCGCTTTTATTATTATCAAAGTTAAAATAACAATTTTTTTAATTTTGCTTTTAATTAATTAAGTAGATTAGTGTTTGTATTTACAAGCTCATGATGCTATTTTATTCGTAATTTTGTTATTATCCTAGATTTGCAACCATATTGGTTCTCCATTAATTGGAGCAGATTGTATTATTGCGTTCTTCTTTCAAGTGTGGATCTTTTGTCAAACTGTAACTTCTTTAGGAGCTCCTTTTGTGGTTGTTTTGCAATTACCATGGGCTTTTTTTATACCTTTTCAGCTTTCAGCCTCCTCATCTTTCTCTCATACATTTTTATTCTTTGTTATATCAACTGATATATTATTTTCCCTTGCACAAAGTTTCAATCACCAAGGTAACGTTTGTCACTTCTAATTTTCTCCTCATGTAGAACCAATTTTTTTCACATTATTGATTTTTTTTCATCAATTTGCACTAGAAATAGTAAAATGTTTTTTTATGATTAATAGCTTTTCTTCACATGAAAGTTGTATTTCTGACACATGATTAGGCATCATCTAAAACTAAATTGCATAACAAATGTGCAGTAGAAATCCTAAACCCTAAGAACATCCATATTTTCCCATAAAACTAAGTTATCTCCAATAGTCTTCTCATCAACATTCATTAAGTACATGATTTACTCTCTTTCTAGTTCATCAACAACATTAAGTTTATCAAAGTTATTCGGGGCCATCTTAAAGAAGCTTCAGAACTCGTTCATTCCCGTAAAATATATTTGTTTGAAATATTAAAAATATTTACCATACATCTGCACCTCTTTCAATCCACTGATGCTATTTTATCTACCCATCTAGCTGGTAGTTTTTTCTACCATGTGTTGTAATGTTACAATTCAATTACATTTACTTCTACCATTAATCTGACATAATAAGTCATTAATTTATCCTACCTAATTTTTTTCACACTTTCTTTTTAACATTTTCATTTCATCTAACCTCAACTCAGCTATAAATGATATAATAGATCTAAAAACTTTAAATCCATCACAGCTAGATATAGTCTTATCTCCTAAAATAACGATTGATAATTGTTAACATCATGCACAACATAAATATACAACATATAATAATTCGTAGGTCTTATATCTTCCACTTATTTTAGCATGTTTCATCAGTTAAAACCATCATCTACAAAAAGAGCATAAACCAAAGTCCCGACATTTGAATATACTTTCTAAACTGATTCCGAATAAATTAAGAAATAAATAAACTTAAAGCTAATTTTTAGCATAATCCTACTATAATTACAAGCTCTTCGATCATTTAGAAGTATATCTAAAACAAATCAATAAGCCATCACAAGTATTTCTAATACCTTCCCCTGTCTATCTAGTTGCATTTAACTGCTTTTGTCTGACCACAAGAAAGACAAAAAAAATGTTTAGCTGCTTAAAAACCTTGGCAAAGATTAGCGGATGCGTCAATTACAAGTATTCAAGTAGCAAACTCAACCAATAAAAAAACAATACAATCTCAGCAAACAGTTGGTTCTACCAATGCTAGAGAAAGCTCAAACCCCACTTGAGATTTTCCTTCTGTCACTTAGCTCTTTATTACACTGCAAGTGGCGGCCAGTGAGTTTGAGCATTTCTTAGGCAAAAACTAGACAGAACAATTTTCTCATTTTTTTAAGTGAGTTCCAAATAAGTTTCAATCTTGATTTCGAGTCTATTCGATTTTGATTTGTGAACAATCCAATTTCGAGCAGATCCGAAATCGGATCGTGGAACGATCCAGTAAATTTTGATTTGATCCAGTGTAGATTAATCCAATTTTCGTGCCGGCTCGAAAGCCATTTTTGGCCCATAAGCTAGATCGGTCCAATTCGAACCCGTCGTGACCGCCTAGCCAACCCACCAAAAAGATGTATTTTTTTGGTGAAAAGAAAGGATTTGAACCCCTATCACTCCGCTCAAGCAAAAAGGACCTCACCAACTGACCTGGCAATGCATTATGCATGTAAAACTAAAAATTTAGGTGTTATTTATGTAAATAAAAAAGAATTTATTTCGATCCTGATCCAAGCCAAGAACAAATCGAAATCAGATCGAAATAAATTCAATCCTTTAATTTGGCTTGTAGCTCGGCTCAAATGGTTCGAGCTAAAATTCAATATGATTTCGAGCGATTCGCGATCTTCGAGCCAATTTCACAGCCCTAGCAAGTAAATCTGTTCAATGTTTTTCCTAAAAATTAAAATATTATTATTGGGATGATGAACTGAAATATTACTAACGATTGGGAAAAAAAATTATATAAAGAGGATAAAATGAAACTCAAGTAGCCCAACCAAATATAGAAATTGAGTTCACAAGAAAAGACATCTTATAAAACAAACAAATGTCACTACAACATACTTCAATATGACTCATTATCAAATTTAATATCAAAACACTTCGAAACGCCTATGGTTAACAAATCATAGTAAATAGCAAAACTGCCTAGTAAAACAATTTGATAAAATAAGTTGAACAATAGAACTTACTCTTTAAATATGAGTCATATTTAGCAACTTCAAACGACTCATTGTTGAAATACTTGACAGTCTGGACATAAGAAAAATGCAAAAAATTCACAAGTGTATGTTTGAAAAACCTCATTTAAAAAAAGGAGGGTTTACATACATAGCACCCAATTCTATGCATTTACATATCTAACACCAAATCTTCACTTTTTTACATTAATACCACTCAAATTTTTCATATTGCATCAAAAATCCACCATTTTAACTTTTAAAATGTGAAATGCATCTTTCATGCGAAGGTAAGGTGGCATGAATGTAAAAATTGAAGTTTAGGTGTCAGATATGTAAATACATAGGAATTAAGTGGCATGTATGTAAATCATCCTTAGAAAAATGAAAGAAGCAAAAAGTGCAAGAACAACAGTTAAATGACCTCATAATTTAACAGAGAATCAATTGACCTTGTACTTGCATCATTATCAGCTTTGTTCATCGCTTGTCGAAACCGAGTTCGCCACTTTTGAGAAAAGAAAATTATTAGGAAATAACTTTATAGAACAATTGCTAGGAATGAATCTATGAGTGAAAAAAAACACAGAAAGAAGAAATTGCATTGATAAACATTAAATAAGATCATTAATGCAAAAAATACAAAAATAAGAATAACAAATTGGTCAACTAAATTTATGAAACATACCTGAGTCACGACTAAAGTAAAAGCAACATACGCGGCAACAGAGAGTGAAGTGATCCAAGCAAAAGTAGCTCCAAATTTGTATGCGAGAATACCTGATACCATAGCAATCTGCACGACATGTAAACTATAACGATCTGAAAACAACGAAAGGATTAAATAAAATAGGCACATAAAATGGTCAGCAACAAATAATTATCAATCTATGCAATCATGATTTTAGATAGGGGCATTTACATACATACCAACTAATTCATATATATTTACATATCTAACATCTAAGCATTAATTTTTACATTCATGCCGCCAAAATCTTTAATTTTTTTTTTTCAAAAACCCAAAAAAGGCTAATATATTAACTAGAAAGAAAGATACAAATACAATATGTTGAAGGGCCCAAACATGGCACCCTGCCCACACCAAAACTAGAAAATACTGAAAAGTACATTAGAGACATAAAGAAAAATCCTAAAAATGTTGAAATACATAGTATCAGGTGGCTAGAGAGCAACCCAATTTGGTTTTGCCTCTGCCTCTGGTTCTCGGAAAGGAGCTAGCTTGCAAAGATGATAGTCATTGCTAGTAGTAACCAATGTATCATCCAATATGTTCCCGAGCTGGAGTCGGTCTCCATTCTTCTTCTTCCTCCTGGAATAGACATGTTATTCCTCTTCATGTATAGACATGTCATTCCTCTTCCAAAGATTGGCTCACCCGACCTTTCTAATGTGTGCTAGAAATGTGCAGATTGTTGAACACTAGAAGCATCTACATGTTGTATCGACTGATCTGTTATTTGATCAAAGGAGCACTCTCGTGTGTCTTGGCATGTAAGTGAGTTTTCTTCAATAACAGTAGGTGGTATAAGCACAACTGGATCTGTAGCTATAGTATGTTGTTCTTCCTCAAGAACTGCTGTGTTGGGAAGAGGATCGGGTTGCATCTTCTCAACAAAGATAATAGGTGGATGTTCTTTAGTGATATTCGGTCTTAGATGAGGATGCAAACGATAGCAAATAGTAGAGTTGTGGCCAAACATACTACAATGAAAGCAATAAGGAGGATGTGGTTCAATTTCAACCTTTTGCTAATATCCGTTTCATATCCATCCGAAGCTGGTTGAATGATATCTTTCTCAACTAACACACAAGCCACAGAGGGTCTAGTGACAGCAAGCATAGGACTATCCAACTTGAGTGGCTTCCCGTAAACAGTTGCTAAAAAGTAGAGGATTTCCACGTTGAACAATGTAATTTTAACCCTGAAAACTTTATCCAAACATGAATGATAGGGGACTCCGTTTTTGGACCAAAACCGACAGTCCACTTCAGAATTTTCATAAAATGATTGTCAATCTTGATAGGTTTCCGAGAGAAAATGCGAGTGTAATCAGCATCATGAGATAGTTGAATAAGTACATGTCTACCGTCAAGTAGGTCAATGTTCCAACTGCCCAATAGTTTCATAGCATCAAACTCCTTCCTAATGATCTCCAATTTTGGGTAACCATAAATGAATTTTCTGTCGAACTCAAACTATATATCTATTATATTAAATTAAATTGGCTTCCCGTAAGCAGTTGCTAAAAGGTAGAGGATTTCCACGTTGAACAGATGTAATTTTAACCCTGAAAATTTTATCCAAACTGGAATGATAGGGGACTCCGTTTTTGGACCAAAACCGACAGTCCACTTCAGAATTTTCATAAAACGATTGTCAATCTTGATAGGTTTTCGAGAGAAAATGCGAGTGTAATCAGCATCATGAGATAGTTGAATAAGTACATGTCTACCGTCAAGTAGGTCAATGTTACAACTGCCCAATAGTTTCATAGCATCAAACTTCTTCCTAATGATCTCCAATTTTGGGTAACCATAAAGGAATTTTCTGTCGAACTCAAACTATATATCTATTATATTAAATTAAATCTCAAAAATTATTTTCATATACTATATTTTCAAAATCATAAAAAAATTGATCGACATTTCCCCACTAGAGAAAAACGCCAAGAGAACGTGAGAGTACCGGTTTCAGCCTCTGTGAGAATAAGAGCAGACTTCCCTTTTTTTTTCCAGGTTTTTTTGAGTTTTTTTAATAAAAGTGTTATCATCTCCACCTTCAAGAATCTCATAGAAAGATTCTGGAACAATGCAGGACTTACCGATAGCAAAACCAGACGCTGAACCTGGAGGGGCATTAGCAGAAAAGGGCAAGTCGCCAGCCAGGGCATTTGCATAGGAACGAAGCATTAAGGCCATCTCCCTCACAAGATGGTCACGTCGGGAGAGAAATAGTCTGGCGGGCCGCAAAGAGGCGAACAGGATGTGAACCGTCTGTCAGGCAAGACAGGCGCAACCTTCTGCGAGACGACGTGCGACAACGTCTGTCTGGCAGGACGAGCGAGGCGCGTTGTCGTTTAGGAGACGACGTGCGATTCGTCGTCTTCAAGCGCCTGCAAGACGAGGTGAATGCAAGCAAAAAATCACGTCGTCGGTTAGGAGACGACGTGCGAAACGGAAGACGTAGTCGTCGTTTTTGGTAAGGCGAACAAAAAACGACGTCGTTGGGTTGGAGAGACGACTTACAAGCTTAGGCAGAGGAAATAAGTGAATCTGATAGTTTCAGCGTCGGGAATCGCCATCGCGCAAAACCCTAGTAGAGCCCCCTGTCGACGCCATCAAAATCTTTCATATCACATATAAATGCCATCATTTTAACTTCTAAAAAGTGAAATACACAATGTCATGCGTCTGTAAGGTGGTATGTATGCAAAAATTAAAGTTTAGGTGTTAGATATGTAAATACATAGGAATTGAGTGGCATGTATGTAAATCTTCCTTTTGAGATGATATCCAAACCCACGCCCTTGAAGATGAAGTCAGTCAGTCAACCAAAAAAAGTCATAAACTAGGAGACAAAGGTAACCAAATTAGATTAAATAATTCATTAAATTAATACAGAAACTTCATATCAATAAGAAAATGGAGCACAACATCCAAATAGTATAAGCACTATAATATGGGAGATGAAAAAAAATACACAAATAATCAGAACAATGCCATCAAAGGTCAAGAAAAATTCTAAGAAATGCAAACATAAATTATCAAATTTTGGAATTGAGAACAAAAATTAAAACTCAAAATTGCCGTTCAAAGAAATAACACATCAAACATCAAAGCAAGATAAAGGAGACATTAAAATATCATATAATATTTTTACAAGCAAGTCTTCACGTAAGATAAATTCATTGGACACAACAATCAAACTGAATTAAACTATAGATAAGAACCTCAAAAAATATCGTAACGAAATATAAAAATACAAAGATAATGAATATTTGTTTAACGACATATACAACCCAGTTATAGAAAAAAAAATCAATAAATCGGAAAGGTGAGAACATGTCAAAAACTGATAAGATAGAGAGAAACAAAAATAGAAAAAATTATATTAGAAATAGTTATTTATAAACATACATAGACAAAGAAAATACATTGTAGGCGCATAAGGAAAATGAACCTAGTGTTTAAGAAACAATAAAACCAATATGAAGAGAGAGAAACCACCACAAACAAAAAAGCCAAAATTATCAAAACCACAATCATCAAAATGTTGCTATAAAGCTATTTTTTATGTCAATATAAGGGGGTGATTGAGCTCCATATCACAATTGCATTGAATTTCAATTTAAACTTGCAAATAATTTGAGTATTTAAATTAAGGATTTGGATCCTATGGAATTAAAGGATTTGTAAGAGCTATTTTCATGAAAAAACAACTCTGATTTCATGCAATGAGTCCAGGCCATCCAAGCTAGATCGGATGGCTAGAATCTGTTATTGCTCCTACATCCTATCAACTGCAATAACTGCCTACATCCTATCAACTGCAATAACTGCCTATAATGCAATTCATTTACTGAGCACAAAACGAACCTCACAGCCCCAAAAGTGACAAGAACCACTTTTATTTCCAATGGGAATTTACATACAGACCACGTAATTCTTACATAATTACATGTCTAACACCTAAACTTTCATATTTGCATGCATAACACACAAATCTTTAATATTACATAAATAATTCCATTTTTACTTACTTTTTATTAGTGAAATACACATTTTCATGTCACCAAAGTGTTATAAATGTAAATTAAAAATTTTAGGCGTTAGATATGTAAATATATTAGAATTGTCTGGCTTGTGTGCAATTTTCCCTATATCCAAATGCATTCCCTAGCAGCAATGATGTCACATACCTCGAGAATGGTTGGTACAACATTGAAGACCATAGATGACAAAATAAAGTTAATTGCCCGGCTTCCTCGGTCAATTATGCGATTCAATGCGCCAGTTTGACGGCTGAATATATAGAATCACTAAAATTATGATTTTGCATGGTGATGACACTAGTACTAAACTCAAATGTCATTAGGATTCAGAATAAAAAAAAAAAGATTTCTAAAATCAATACGTCTTCTTCAAAGTACCTTAAATGATACCGAAGATCAAGATCATGCAAGTGTGCAAAGACCTGCAACATAATGCATAAATCACTTGTTATGTACCACCAATCATTTGTTATGGCATTGTCGAATAAATTATATCAGCATTGCAGAATATAAAATGGAAATATAATGATTATTTAAAAATGAGAATCAAATACAAATATTAAAAAGAAATTAGATAACTCAGAAGTTAAAGAATAGTTAATTTTAAAATATTAAAAAAAAGGCAAAGAATAAGCCTAGGCTGTAGTTTTGATTTTAAGTTAACTAAATACTAGCGGTACAAGTATTTACAAAAAATTGACAGAATTACAAGATAAGGCATGGTGAATAAAAGACAATAACCCCATAATTTGTCAACTAAGTAAAGTGCTAAACTAATCCCGACTATTTACATAGACTCATTTTAGTCCCCGGATCTATAAAAATGTCAAATTAGTCCCACACTCTTGCAATGAGAGATAAAATAATCCTCCCTGAGGATTATCAACCAATATTAAAAGAGTCGAGGAACTAAATTGGCACTTTTATACACTTTGGGATTCAAATGGCCCCTTGCAAAGAATTGAGGGACCATTTTTACACTTTCTCCTTCGTCAAATAACTTTGGCAAAGATTTGATGGTATTAAAAAAAAAAAGACCTAATTTACCGCAAGTGATCCTTCCAAGCTTGCAGTTGGGGCTCAATACAATAACAAAAGAGTAAATAATGATGGAATAATAGAAGTGTGAGAGCGAACAAGGAAGGGCTTGTGAGAATGTGTGTTTGTGAGCTTGCAATTGTTGCCACTCAATGACGCTAGGATGTGTAGCGTACGAAGGAAGAAAATCTCATTGAAGCGCACGAGCAGTGAGCAAGTAGGCAAGCAAAGCATGAGCAAAGGCCAATGCAAAGCTAACAAGCAAGCCATGGCGACTGAGCTATTCAAAAGTTAAAGCTAACAAACAAGTGGATCGAGTTAAACCAAGCAAAAGTTTGCTCGAGGTTGAGCTCATTTACCGAAACTCTATTTAAGCTTGACTACAAACTCAATTTGAATATTTGTAATAGTATTCAAAGTGGATCGAGTTAAACCAAGCAAAAGCTTGCTCGAGGTTGAGCTTATTTACCGAAACTCTATTTAAGCTTGACCACAAACTCAATTTGAATATTTGTAATAGTATTCAAACTCAATTTATATAAAATTGTGATTGTTTGAGCTTGATTATGGCTTGGCTCATTAGCTAACTAAGAAAACAGTATCTAGCTTACAAGCAAGCACCATTATCGAGCAGCTGTTGAGTTTACTAACATGTCTTATCCAGCCTATTGAGCTTAAAGAAAGAGGCTTTAATTAAATTAATTGACAAATAAATAAGTATTTTAACAAGCATAAATAAGTAGCTTGTTTACATGAACAAAATTTATCTAGTATAAAAAAAAATAAGAGACCTAATATAATCACATATTACATAATAATGTAATCAAATCTTTATAAACATATCATCGAGCGTCTTAAAAATTTTGTTCTTTAGCTTTAAATGATATTGCTCATGATAATAAATGGTCGTTAATATCAAGTTATTCAAGCTTGTTTATTTATCAATCAAATATTCATGAGCATTTAAACTTATTTGATTTGTTAATTAAACAATCATGAACAAGATTTAACAAAGCCAAGCCATGAGTAGCTTGTCAGGAGTATTGGTTCATTTACAGCCCTATAAATTGTGGCAAGCGTAATAGTTCACGTGAGGTGTGCGGGGAAAATGACACGAGCATATAAGAAAAACTGTTTCTCTTTGTTTTGGCCTTCCTGCACAAGCTTGTTAACTATATTCTTGAACTTGTAAAATAGAAATGAGATGAATAATAAATTGCTTGTGTAAAATTGTTATTGTCACATCAGATCATAATAATTGTTTTATTTGGGTAACAATGCAGTGTTTATGTTAAAATCATCAGGTTTATTTTTATAATTCCAAAACTACACATATACAGATAAAGTCAAAAGTGTTATAGAACCATATGATGCAACCAAATTTGATTATCAACTATTAAAAACTTAAAAAGTAAAATTATCTTCAATTATAAGGTTTCCTTTAATGTGGAAACTAAAGCAAAATATAGATGTAATCAACCTAGTTCAAATCAGCACTAAGCTATGTCACCTCTATACTATAAGGTAATGGTTGTTATTACAATTAGTACAATAGCCAATACAATTAACACAACAAGAAACAAAAAAAGGCTCCACAAATTTTTCAATTGTCTTCTTTCATTTTCATCAATTTAAGATAAGCCTTCATCTTCTTGCGCTCTTTCAATATTACAATCATAGACTCATCTCAACCTTACACTCAGCAAATTGAGCATTGATCAATGTTTTTGGCACACTAAGCGCAACACAATGCACAATGAATCCCTTCACCTCGAAGAGAGACCTAGGAATTTTTTTCTCTAAAACACTCAAAATCGTACTTGACACTATTAACCTAATCTAATTTAAGATGTTCTAGCATTATAGTCTCCTGCTCTCACTTGTAAGATACAAAAACATCACATTTTTTGTTATCAGCCACATATTATATTTTCCAAAATTATCATCTAAGACACTTTTACCACCTCCACTAAAAACAACATTGGTAATTTTTTATCACTGCAAGTGTTGTCAACGAGTCTTGAAGTCTACATCAAGCTTAAGCTTCATCTACTTAATTTTATCGCCTCCTCTTCTACCAGAAGATTCAACCAACTTTATTAGTGTTCAATTGAAACCCTAGAGATTACGGTATGGGAACACACTGATGGGAGAAACCCCCGATATCAGGGTTATTACATTCTCATGTTCCTTAAAAGACAGCAATCTGCATGGTAACTACAAATCTTCTGCAAATTGTCGTAGAAGCAGTTGAATCAATACAAGAATCTCTGTCAACTCTATCATGTATCTCTTCCATGCAATACAACTCGATCAAAAAGCCCAACTCTGCATCATATATTGCCCTAACCATGGTCTTGAGTGTCACTAAGGTCTTGCACACCATCGTAAAGCATCATCATCTTGTCTCCCTCACAGAACTCCATTGTTAGAAGTTTCCAATTCATCTTTAGCTTCCCCTCAAGGCTGTAACAAATTTATACACAATATCAAGTCAACGCTCCCTAAATCCAAGGGAAAAAAAAAATTCTTTACCACTTGAATAACTTGCATCGTTAAAATCACGCCCTTACAAACTCCCCTCCTCTTCTCAACCTGTCCATCCCCATCATGATTCCAAACTTCTAGAGTCAACCATATCAAGTCTCAATTGCTTCACAAATTGAGTAGAGATGAAGTTGTGGGCGGCTCCACTATCTACCAACAGTGCCATGTCTCGCTCTCCTATATGTACCCGAATTTTCATTGTGTGGTTCGGAATTAACCCCACCATTGAGTTCAATGAGACTTCTGCCACGTCCAAGTGAGGGTGCTCCTCCTCCTTGATCATAACCTCCTTTGTTTCTTCATCCTATATCTCCTCATCACACAGTGAGAATCTGTAAGGTCCAATCTTTGCAACAGTGTTCAGGGGCTAACTTCTCGTTACAACAAAAACATAATCCTTTGGCTTGTTTCTCATGAATGTCCATCTTTGTAAGGTGTTTAAATGTCACCCCCAATCGTGGCCCATTATTCCCGTCTCATGGAACCTGCCTTTGGAATCCCGCTGTTTGAGTTTTTGCTATCGTCATAGCTATAGCATGTCAATATGGCACTCAACTTGTGTTGCTCCTATTAGCCTATTCCATTGCATTTTTCTCTTAAACCAACTATGCTAATTCCATAGTTTTCTCTAATTCTCGTGGTCTCAACAGACAAAGTGCTGCTCAAATCTCTAACTTCAGCCCCTTCATGAAGTTTCCTTTCAACACTACTTTTGATAACTTTCTCAAACAGCAGTATAACATCTCAATTTTCACTCTATAATCTATGACGGACCTTTTTGGACCAATACAAAAACTGCTCATATAAATCTCCTTCTCATGTAATTCTGAAAAGCTCCAACAATCGATCATTTCTTCACATATTTTGATTGGTTGATGTTGTTTTCACCATTGATACCACGCTAGAGCATTCACATCCAAACATAGGGCTGCCACCATCAATTTTTCTTTCTTTGTCAGCCCATTAACAGTAAAGTATGTCACCGCGCAATAAACCAAAACATAAGCAGCCTCCACTCTAAATATTAACATTTTTAGCTTCCTTATGCGTGAGTCTCCACCACATTTTAAACATAATACTGAAAGATTGAACAAACTATGAATTTTTTTTTCCGAACAGTGGAGCAATAATTTCTATTTATCTTTATTCATTTCTTTATTTTTATTACTGCAAACAACCTCGTAGGATAAACCTTGAAATACTAGGTTGCCTTTTTTGCATCACAAGTACTTCTTGTTGCATATATCAATATTATCATATGATGAGGAATAAGAGATAAAATATCAAAAAAAAAAAAAAGATTTACAAGTACAAGGCTCTTTAGTGAATCTGCATTAACCAAAAAAAGGAAGAAAAAGAGATTTTTGAAGGCCAAGTGTTCACCTTCCTAGAAACAGTGCGGATCGCTCTCAATGATACCTTTGAAAATACAGCATTTCTCAGTTCTGTTCATAGAATAGCAAATTGATGAATATAATTTGCTTAAACTAGAAAACAAAAAAAAAAAAAAAAAAACGTTCTGAGAAAAGAAAATGCTTTCTCAAACTAAATTAAATAACTTAAATAATTGAATTTATTGTTCTAGGCAGTGAAAAAAAAATTATTGAAAGTAAGCAGGAGCGGGATTTGAAATTGGGGGAATGCTGGTCTGAATGATATCAATAAATTCCAATAGAGGTTTGGGATCAACCTATCTTATGAACTCATGACATAATGGTATGTAGGTTATTTGGATCCCGTAAATGTGCCAATTATTTTAAATTTAGAATTTTAAGTTCAAGTTCTCAAAAAATAATTACATCTTGGGTGGTATCCAAGAAAACTCTTAATTGCAGAATCTTGCCTATGTTCTGCTTGTGTTGATTCGATGATAATGAATCATTCTATTGAATAACGCAGAGACTCGAAATAAAGATAATCAAAATATATGAGCATCAAAGCAAAATTACATAGACAATTCTCGACGTGGTAAAGATAGTGAAATCCTCTGACATGCTAGGGTGTATAATGTGGTGGACGTGAGGGTAGGGAAGCTCTTAGAACGAGAGAGACAGTCATAGAATTGTAATACAAAAAAAAAAAAAACCCTAATCATGAAGGAGAAGAAGATGAAATATTTCCTATAAAAAGCTTTTTTGAATTTATTTTAGAAATATAATATTGGCCTATGGAAGCTCAAGAGAATGATAACCAACAAAGATGACTTCGAAGATGATGGGATGTATATTCTATAGCATAAGACAATTCATGGATCATCAAAAAAGGAAAAAAAATTCTAACTCACAAAAGATAACAAAGAACAAAGGCTCTATAACTTGTAAGACTTTGAAAGACAACTGACAATAAGAGCTGATCCTAAGGGATACAACCTAAGAAGGGGAACTATCCAAGAGAAAGAGTCTATCCAAGGATAAGAAGGCTAGCCTAAGGGATAAGTAGACTAGCATAGCAACTAGGATGACTATCCTAGAGAAAGAAAACTAATCTTACCATATCCTAAGGAAGAAGGAAGATATTCAGCCAAAAGAGGCAGTATCCATCCTAAGAAAAGGCTGACTAAACCAAAAAACAGAATAAATTAATCACTGGGATATGAGGACAACCCTAAACAAGATCTCTTAGTTGTCCATCATCTTGAATCATTGTGCTCGAATCCTACCAGATCGGAGGAGATGATCATACTTTTCTAACCAAGAGGATCCTTTTCCGCAACCACATGTTGCGTTGACTGAATAAATCTTATAGACCTAGTGGTATAAAAGAGATCTAATCGAATGTTGACAACTAAGACTTGTACTCCACAACCGCATGACGAAGAATACCGATGGAGGCTCAAGACCTCATAGATTGTGAATCTTCTAGACAAAAGAAATCAATGTATTGGGACCTACAACATGACCACAATGATAATCATAAAGAAAAGAATGTTAGACGTACATCCTGCCTAATCAAAAAAGTCACTAACCCACAACATGCACGAAAATGAGAGTTCAATCAAACTCAGATGGAGAAGAAGTAAATGTAGTTTAAAGCTTGCTCATACCTAGCATGATATATTAAATGTCAAATCACTACTCCTAATAGAAATTTAGGCTAAGCGCATTTTCATTTAAAAAAAAATGAACTATAAGTGAATGATGTGCAATACCAGAAAACTCTAGTCATCACAGATAACATGCTACACAAACATAGTCAATAAGCATCCAACTTGAATTTTACAAATAACATTCGCATCTATATAACCATCACTTTGAACAACAGATCTGAGATCTTTAAAATGTTCAAACCTTTTAATGATTTGATCAATCATTGTTACAGCTCTACCATTAGATCTACTACTATTAAAATTACATTCCATGCATTCAGTTTTATAGCTACTCAAATGAAGGTCTTTAGACTCTAATGTAGACCTCCACAATTCAAGTTTTTCCTGAACACTTTTTTAATCTCGTCCACAAGAAGAATATCATCAGCGAAAAGCATACACTAGTCTCGTCCACAAGAAGAAAATCATCAGCGAAAAGCATACACGAAGGTACATCCTTCTGTAAATGTCCAGTAAGAGAATCCAAAACTAAAGCAAAAGGATATGGGCTTAAAGTATGTAATAAAATAGAAAAATACTTGGTCATTCCTCTTGTTCAAACACAAGTAACAGCTCTAGTATACATACCTTTAGTGATTTAAATATAAGTCATATCAACACCTTTCTTTTACACCTTTCTTTTCTAGTACTCTCCAAAGAACTTCTCTTTGAACCTTACCGTAAGCATTTTCTAAATCAATAAAAATCATACGTAGATCCCAGATCCTCCTAATTATCTCTGCACTTCTCCATGAAACCTCTCAATAAATGTATAACTTTCGTGGTAGACTTGCACAGCATAAACCCCAACTGATTATAAGAAATCTTTGTATCACACTTTATCATTTGCTCAATTACTTTCTCACATAATTTAATGTATAGTGCATTAACTTCCTCTATAATTTGCACACTCTTGTGCATCCCCTTTATTCTTAAAAATGGGAGCCAAAATACTCTTCCTCCACTCCTTCGGCATCTTTTTAGTTTAAAAATTAATATTAAAATGTTTAATAAGCCACGAAACTCCTAAATCTCCTTAAAAAATACACACTTCTATTGGGATATCATCAGGTCCTACTGATTTTCCAGTCACGACATGGCACGAGGCGTGGAAATAACCAAGGTAGGTGCAGACGGCTGAACAGTAAGAACTAAGTTTTCTATATTTATTTATCATTCAATAAATGAAAGAGTTACTATTTAAATTAAATTAAAACATTATATTTAAATATACCTCATTATTGGTTCTCCGCAACTTCTATAAACATTTCTCTTCTATTCTTCATCTTTTAATCATTTAATTAAACATGAAATAACAATTTAAAACAACAATAAGCTTAAACAAACCTAGTGAATACTCATACTCCGAAACTAAAGCAAGATAAGGAAAAAGAAAAGTAATATGCATGTCAATTAAGTTTTTAATAAAACCAATATAAACACTTGATGTTATTTAATGAATCTTATTATATTAATAGCATATCTATATCATTATATATCTCTACAACCATCACAGAATACATCTAAAAATTATACCACCTAAAGTATTTCAATATCAATATTTTTTCTATTTATATTGGGTTACTCTATCACAATCAGTCGTGCACATACAAACAGTTAAAATAAATTCTAATTCAAGCGCTCACCACATTCAATTTAATATACTATATATAACAAATACTAAAGCATGATAATAAGTAGCTCTAAACATTCATAATAATGTGACCAATAAAAGAAAAAAATATATAAATTAAAATAAAGCTTGTCTAAGTATCTGTCAGCACAAAAAAGAGAAAGAAAGAGATTGTTTGGGGGGGAACCAAGATACTACCATAGATTAAAAGTAAGAGTACTCACCTTGATAATTATTAATTTGTTATTTGATTTCTCTTCACATCAACTCTTCAAAAATTGATGTCCACAATAAACATGGGTATTCATTTCAAAACTTTAATTTATTATCATTTTAATTAGATATTAAATTTACATTATTCAAGTATTAAATTTCCATTATTTTACTTTATGAAATCCTAATTAACTTTATTTTTGCTATCAAAAATTCATTAATCAAATAATAATATAAACCCAATTTTCCTTGCCTACGTTTGCTCGGTTTAATCTTTCTCCTCCTCTAGCCCACACATTTTGCCTCCTATTCCCCTCCAAATCTGAAATTCTAACCAGAAGTCCTAAATAAAAAATTTTCTATTAATATTACTATATATATATATATATATAAAGTAAACAATACCTTAAAAGTCGGTACAACGACAAACCACGTGAAAATTTCTTAAGTGATTCCATCTCCTTCCAACACACTGAGCTCCTTCCTTTCCTTCTATCGGTTGCACGACATGGACATATCCTCCTCTTCCACTGTGCTCGAGCCTCCCACGTCGTCGCTTTCTTCCTCTTCTCTTCAACGATGGCTAACTAGGATACAGTCGAGCGCCCTAACACATTGAGCTTTCCTTCCTCCCATTTCCTCTCTTCTGTGAGCACCACAACACTGTCCTAACCAGCTCGACACAACAGGTAAGTCAACTTCGACAATTTATCTCTCCTCTTCAGCTTCCCAGCTCTCACTTCATCTCTCCCTCTATGACTGCCCAACTCCTCGTTTCATCCCCCCTTTTGGTTCCTCTCGAGCACATGAAATGAGGTGTCACATTTCCACCCTTAGTTATTTTTTTAATCCTCATCAAGTTCATTTTTACTAATGTGGCGATAAAAATAAAAAATTTTATTATTATTATAAATATTATGAACATTAAGTTCAATCATATTTTTAAAAAAGGAATAGAAAATATTATCAAAATCTCACCCACTTATGTTAAATATCATCCTCTAACAAATGTATTTTTTTATTTACATCTTTAATAAACTTTAATTTTCTCTTATCATTGTTTAGCTAAATTATACATATATCATTCACCCACTTTAGCATTCAATCTATTATAAAGATCACTAAAATCAGAATTCTTAGTTTTACAAATTATTCACTTAGACTTCCTACAAGCCACATTATATTTTTCTCAATTTTATAAGCTCTTACATTTAAATCAGTTTTTATAAGAAAATTTTTATATTTTATCTTTTTTTTCACATTATTATTCAACCACCAACTATTTTTATTTATAAAAATTATTCTTTTGATTCTCCAAGTACATCTTTTGTCATTAGTTTAATAATGTTTGTTAGTTTACCTCACATAAAATTAGCTTCTTTATGAAATCTTAAAATTTATTCATAAAAATAATTTTATTTATTTTTTAGATGCCTCCATCGAATTTTATAGCACTGTTTAATTGTACTTTTTATTTCCAACTCCTCATCTTAAATCCAAAACTAATAATCGATGTTGAATTTAATAAAACAACTTTTTTTTTAAAAAAAAACCTTCATAACCAGTAAATATCTAATTTGATATTTATAAATTAAAATTTTAATTGAAATTTTTAAATATTTACTTATATAAAGAAGCTATTCATATTTTTGGTAAAAAAGTAAAGCAACTTCAGAAACCATATAATTTTTTTTCTAATTTTTTAATTTTTTTTTTATATTATGTTTGTCAATAAAATGTTGTTTTTCTAATTTTTTAATTTTTTTTTATATTATGTTTGTCAATAAAATGTTGTTTAAATTAATTGTCCAATCATCAAACTGATATATAAGTGGTATAGTAGGATTGGTCAATCACAAGACAACAACATTAGATAGGATCACAATGCAATAAGAGAATTAAGGAGATCATGTGATCCAAACCAAGCCATGAGATCCCAAATTTGATATTTGAATGCAACTAACTATCTTCTACTTTCCACGCCTAAAGTTCAAATCAAAGGTTTACATGACACAATTCCTAGCCAACCTAGTATCCATGAGTGGTGGCGACAATAAGGATTCAAGTTGAAGGAGCTTCAACACCCGCTTGAAATGTTTTTTGATGACAACGGCCAAAAGCTATATCACTCTATTTTCTTTAAAAATCAAGTCTTTATATGGAATTTTAAACCTTGTAACAAACATATAAAGCAAATTTATGGCTTTTCTAATGAGATCAAGTTAAAGAGGTATGAGATCTTAAAAGCGACTAATTGATGAAGATAATCCTCAAAATAGGCAAAAAATTTCACTTAATTATTCCTCCTATAGATTGTATTGAGTCATGGATTAACTAACACCTATTTTAAAAAATATAATATATGTCATGAATCCCTCAAATTATCTTTTAATTTTCTAGACTTTAGCTTCTAGGACATAGAATAAACAACCTTCGATGTGTGGCACTAGCTAAGGCCACCACTACAAAGTGAAAGACAAAGGTATTTATCCATGCATAGGCTTAAGCTAGCTAGATTTATGAAAATATAATCGACCTTAGTGATCTTAATACCATTAATAATAATAAAACGATTTATTTTTACCGCTAGATTAATAAAAAAGAAGTTGAGGTGGCTTTAAAGAAAACCAAGCGCGGAAAATGGAAAGCTAGTAGGACCTGATGATATTCCAACTGAAGTGTAGAAATATATAGGAGATTTTGGAGTCTCTTGGCTTACCAGACTCTTTAAGATTATTTTAAAAACTAAAAAGATGTCTGAGGAGTGAAGAAAGAGTATTTTGGTCCCCATTTTTAAGAATAAAGTGGATGCACAAGTGCGTACAAATTATAGAGAAATTAAATTGATGTGTCATACTTTAAAATTCGAAGAAAGGGTAATTGAGCATAGGTTAAGACGTATTAAAAAGATTTCACATAATCAAATTGGATTTATGTCGAGCAGGTTTATTATGGAAACTTTGCATTTATTGAGAGGTTTGATGGAGAAGTTCAGAGAGAATAAGGAGTATCTACATATGATTTTTATTGATTTAGAAAAAGCTTATGATAAGGTTCCAAGAGGCATCCTTCGGAGAGTTTTAGAGAAGAAATGAGTCGATATGACTTATATTCAAGTCATTAACGACATGTTAGAGAAGAAATGTGTCGATATGACTTATATTCAAGTCATTAACGACATGTATACTAGAGTTGTTATTTGTGTTCGAACAGAAGGAGGATTGGCCAAATATTTTCCTATTTAAGTTGCATTACATTAGAGATCGGCCTTGAGCCCGTATCCTTTTGCTTTAGTTATGGATTGTCTTACTGGACATTTACAAGAAGATGTTCCTTCGTTTTGAGTATAACTAAAATTGAATACATGGAATGTAATTTTTACAGTAGTAGCTCTAGTGATAGAGTTGTAACTATGGGTGGTGTGAACGCTTTATACATTTCAGGTTTATTGTTCAAAGTGATGGTGATATAGATGGGAATGTATTAGTAGAAATCAAGTTGGTTGGTAGAAATGGAGGAATGCTTCGGGCCTATTATGTGATAGAAAAGTACTACTTAAACGGATGAGAAAATTTTATAAGATGGTGGTGAAATCTGCAGTGCTCTATGGCACTGAATGTTGGCCTTTAAGAGAGAAAAATAAAACTAAGTTAAGTGTTGCCGAGATGAGAATGCTTAGGTGGATGAGTGGCTTTACACATATAGACAAAATGCATAAAGACTATATTCGTGATAGGATTGATGTAGCTTCAGTGGCGGACAAAATTAGAGAGAGTTGTCTTAGATAGGTTGGTTACAGGTTACATTAAACATCGACCATATAATGATCCGGTTAGGAGAGTAGATGTTTTAGATTTTACTTATGTTAAGAAAGACAGAACAGAAGTAGACCTAAAAAAGGTAAACCTAAAAAGACTTGAGCATGTTGTATAAAAATGAACTTAATTTATCAGAATCAAATGAAAATGACACTCAATAGGACGCAATGGAGAAGACGCAATGAAGAAAAAGGATTCATGTAGCCAACCCCATACCCAAGTTAATAAGATAAAGGTTTGTTGTTGTTGTTGTATGGTAATTTAAATAGTTGAATAGACTTTAAAAATCAAAGGAACAAACTAAAAAAATTAGAATCAAAATAAATTGAACTTAATTTAGATTTAATCAAATTAAGTTGCTTAAGTTGACTTAGGATGACCATGGAATTTTTTATATTTATTTTTTTAGGTTAATTTAAGTGGACTTAAGAGCGTCCTAATATGGTATAGATAACTATTTAAGAATGAACAACATATGCCGAGATTTAGATCTATTACCTCTTTGATTAATTTTATTAACTAACAGCTTGAGATTAATATTATTCTGACCGCTCTTAGATTAATAGTCCTTGGACAAGTTTGAGTCTAACCTATGACCATGGAATTTAGATCTATTTTTCATATTAAACTAATTTGACCTAAATGGTCCTAGTTGGCAAGATTCACTTCCTAGGATCTAAGGACTCTTATGGGTTTGATTGAGTCTAACCTATGAAGTTTCAAATTTACTGTATCTAACCTAGTGGATTCAGGATTAACTAAAAATCCTAGTAACCACCTAATACCTAGGGACATGTGGTTTAAGTCAAACTTTTTAGGCTTGGGTCAACACAAAGCAAAGAAGACTAGTGAGGTTGACCACAACGTTGACCAAGGACTATGTGTTGATCAAATGTGACACTTCAGGTTAAGGATTTGTCCAAGCCAACTCTAAGAAATCTAAAACCCATGTGGGTGTCTTTGAGCTAACCTAGCAATGCTAAGTTTCACCACAGAGCGGTCAGAATAATATAAATCCTAAACCGGATGGACCTAGGTCAAGCTAAACTAGCCTAGGTATCTCAAGTGCAAACAATAAGCTCCTATGGTTGTGTACAAGCTCCAAGTGCATGTGACAGGGTGTCATGAGCGTATTAACCAAACCATGCCTAATTAAAGGAATGATACCGAGCCTAATCTAGTAGATGTGTCAAAGGGTTAAGTGAAAAGAGTGAACATCGATCAGGTCAATAACCTGGTTAGTAACTGGTGTAGTCCAATTATAAATCAAGACAACAAAACACAATAGGTCCAATATATAAAGAGAGATCCAACTATATCAATCAATAAAAGAATATCCATTTAATTGAGCCAAGTCAGTTTCGCAAACAGCCCTAAAATATGTAAGTGAACCAAGAATGTCTGGAATAATCAAAGATATAGAGTTAAGACAATACTACAATGTCAATCTAGTGACCATAAACCCTAAAATATTCATATTGGGAGTGTGTGCACAATAAGAAAACCAAGACCGTAAGTGTAAAAGGCATGTCCAACATAAATCTAAAAAGAACAGATAATGAATAAAAAATAAGGGTGTTAAAATACACCCAAAATTATGCTAACAATTACTCTATGAAAATAAGGCGAGTTTAGAAAGTACCATTACAAGCTGATGAACCCATTCTTGCTATTCCATAGCCAATTAAGACAGCCACGGGACTCACAAAAAGTGCCAGTGCCATTGAATTATTTTCATTGAATGTTGATAGAGAACCAGCAGAACCGGTTATAGCTGTTAACCAATCCACGGCAATCTTGAATAGGAAAGGCACTTGAACATTTAAAACCTGACTTTCAATTGCCAAAAAATGCCAAAAGAAGGTAGAACACCAAAGTAAAATTCATCAGTATCTTATTTCAAAACAGTTAAAAATATGCTAAATTGTTACGAATTGGCCATCAAACCAAAAACAAACAAACTATAATGGATTATTTGCACCAACAAATCTAGAAACATTAATTTACATACGTCAATGAATCATCAAATTAGAAGCAAAATTTCTTAGTTAAGTAACAGGCATGTTTCAAAGAAACAAAATAGGCAGGTTGCTGTAAGAAAAGAAAACAATTGTGCTGCTAAGCGGCCCGTAACACAATATCATCTTTTAGTATCCCTACCTTTGCCCCAACGAGGAGACTTAATGCCACCATCACTCTCAAGCGGAACTCAAAGTTATCCTTTTGCCACAGATTCCTCATAAGGGTCCGAAGGATTTGCGTATCAGCAATTTGGTCATCAATAGCCTCCTTCCGAGTCTTATCAATTTGAACTTCCTTCTTAGTCCCACTAGCTGGAACTTTTGAAGCCACCTCACCAGCAGAAGTTGAGAACAAAGCATACCTTTTCTGCAAATGTCTCTTTGGAGACAAGAAGAGGCGGCATAATTACAGAATTATACACCGTGAAAACATGTAATATAGCATAATGCAGTAAACCTAATGGCATAAATGAAAGGAAGAATTGATTAAAATGGAAAGAAGTCAGTCAAAGTTGATAATTGCTTAGACTTAAAAAGGCATTGCAGCACAATGATTCTAGTTGGATTCATCATTCTAGAATTACTAAATTGCATTAAGTTATATAATGTTTCAAATGCAAAAAAAAAGAGTCAAGTATGTATAATTGCATGTTAGAAATAGTGAAATCATTGCATAACTGAAAAGAAAGCATTGATTAAAATCGAGACAGTCAGTTAAGGTTGATGGTACTTTCAAAAAACATTTTAGCACAAATAATTAGAGTTGGTCCCAGAAATTAGTTAAGTAGGAGAAGATCAAACATTTCGTCAAAATACTGCAATAAACAACATTTTTGGCTCAAATGAAGAAAAAAAGAAGGCATTAGAGTACCTTCATGCCAAATCAAGGGAATATTTTGTTACATCTAAATTTAAGGGCATCTACATACATAGCACAAATTCTTATGCATTTACATATTTCACACCTACACTTCAATATTTACACACATAGTATTCAAATCTTTAGTATCACATAAAAAATAGCACTATTAGCACTTTTTAAAAGTCAAATATATATTTTCCAAAATAGCGCTATTAGCACTTTTTAAAAGTCAAATATATATTTTCAAACAGGTTTAAAACATCAAAGAACAATAGAACCAAGCACAAATGTGAAAGCAAACAAATACATGTGTGGATTCAAATACGAAAACCCATATGTGTGTACTTGTGCTAGGCGCACAAACGCGCAGAAACCCACATATGCACATTTACACCTCACATAATCACTCCTAGACAAAAATATCCCCTTACTAGACACCACCTACCAATACATATAGAAGCTAATAGTCTTACCTTTGTTTCCATGATTTAAAGACGAACTCTTTTTAAATGAAAGAAAGAATAGACATGTGCAACATGTCTAATATGAAGCAAAACCAAAAAATCTTTGGATTCATGGAGTAACCACATCTATGATCATATTTAAATGAAGCTACCTTCACGCCCACACACAAGCACCCTTATCATGGATCTTATACACATGCAAGGAGAAATACATATAAAACAGATCAATCCATGAGTTGAGCTTCGTAGCATCAACTATCTCAACAAAAGTAGAAATCTCCAATTTAGCTTGTATTTTAAATAGCTGCATCCTCCCTTTATTTGCAGTAACCATATATGTGGTTTTATGGGATCGGAAAAACTTATTCATTGCTAGACTTCGATAAAAACCATATGCAAGGATAAAACATATATATATATAGACACACACACACACACCAAGTAGAGAGAGGATCATAATTATAGAGCACAGAATAGGGAATCAAGCCATGACCTCTCCTACCAAAAATATAATAATAATAATACATATAAAATTTAGTAACAGCAAATATAATTGATTTATAACCAAAAATCAACTATATTTAATTAACTTCTATAATTCCAACACTCCCAAAGGTAGGTCATGCATATTAGCCATATCCAACTAGCTCATAAATCACAAGGAATTCAAAATGAGGCTTATGGTAAGAATATCTACCTATTATCTAGCAGAATCAAAGAGAATGCAAATAGCACCACAATCAATCTTCTATTTTATAAAAGTAGACAATCTCTACATGCTTTGTTTGACCATGTCGTATAGGATATTATTCAATAGTGATCGATGCTTTATTGTCACGATATAATTTCATTACCATGCTTCCTGCCATTTTCAATTTCTTGGACATCTCACACACTTCATTGGCCAAAGCTCGGTATTCTATTTCAAGGCGGTTTCTTGCTGCTAAATTCTGTTTTTTTTTTTTCAACATACCTATAATATCTTGATGTAGATCTTTGATCACTGATAGATCTGGTCCAATCTTTATTCATATATGCATCAACATTTCGATGTTAAGACTTTTTAAAGAATAAATATTTGCTTGGAGTACTTTTCAAATATCAAAAAATCCAATACAAAGCTTCGAAATGTTTTCATATAATGAATGTGTAAAATTGACTCACAAGCCTTACATCAAAAGCAATATATAGTTGTGCATAAAATAAGTCAACAAGCTTTCCTACAGGTACTTTATACTGCGTTATATTCACTAAATGTTCATTTTCATCTCTAAATTTAGTATTTGGATAAACTAGAATGCCTATTGGTCTACAACCACTCATTTTTTTCTTTAAAATGGTCAAGTATGTACTTTGTTGTGAGATAATAATTTCTTTATATGATTTGGTAGTCTAGTGCACCCCTTTATTCTTAAAAATAGAAACCAATATACTCATTCTCTGCTCATCAAGCATTTTAAAGTTCTTAAAATAATATTTAAATTTAATAAGCCAAAAAAAATTTCAAATCCCCTAAACATTTTCATATTTCTATTAGCTCAAACCTTAATGCATTTTCAAATTTCATTTTTTATTAAAGCCTCATCAATTTATGTTTTACTAATCCAATGGTAGAAATAAAAAATTTTGTTATTATTTACAATAGTAAGATCACTACAGTCAATCATAGTTTTACAATCTTCATTACAAAAAATTATCAAAATATCTCACTCACCCGTGTTGAATATTATCATCTAAGAAAAATATTATTTGATCTTCATCCTTAATACATTTTATTTTAACTAAATTTTTATTATTCTTATGTAATTGTTTTGCTGATTTATACATATATTTTTCACCCATTCTAGTATCTAATTTATTATAAATATCACTACAAACATAATTCTTAATCTCAGAAATTGTCTCTTAAACTCCTTATGGGTATCCTTATACTTCTCTCATTTTTCCAAGCTTTTACATTTAAACCAATTTTTATAACCAAATCCTTTATTTTTTTATCGTTTCTTGAACATTATTACTCCACCACCACCAATTATTTTTATTCATATGAGTCTTTTGTTTAATTCTCCAAATAAATCTTTTGCAACTTGTTTAATAGTACTCTTCATTTTATCCCAGATAGTATTAGCTTCTTCATGAGCATCATAAATCTTAAAATCTTGAAGTTTATTAATAAAAGAAGTTTTAATTGTGTCTTTTAAGTGTCCTCATCTAAATATATGATAATATTTTATTGAATTTTCTACCTTCCAACTCTTTATTTTAAAATCTAAAACCAATAATCGATGATAGGTGCTCAAACTTTACTTGAAATGACCTTACTTTACAATCTCGATAATCTTACTTTCTCATAAGAAAATAATCAATTTGTATTTTATTAGATATATTCATATAGGTGATAATATGTTTATCTATTTTCCTAAATAAAGAAATAATAATAATAATAATATCATAAGCTAAAGTAAAATCCAATATGACTACTTCATTAGCAACTCCAACATCATAATCATTATAAATACTTATAAAATCTCATACCACTCTCCCAAGATATGCATTTAAATCTCCTTCAAAAAAAATCTTTCTTCAAGAGGATTCATTTATATTAATTCTTCTAGGTCATTCTAAAACTTTTCATTTAAACAAATATACAAACCTATTTAGGAAGTATAAGTACTTATAACATTAAGAATCCTAGTATCAAGAACAATCTTTAGAGCTATAATTATATTTTCAATTCTATTATATTTTACAATATTGTCTTTTAAATTTGTATTTATAATTACATCTACAGCATTTCTAATAAAATTTTTATTTGAATATCAAAGTTTAAAACCTAAGTTATCAATCTTCTTAGTTTTTATCTCCAACTAGTTTAGTTTCTTGAATGCATAAGATATTTAAATTCTTTTGAACTCTAATATTTACTAATTATATTAATTTATCTCTAAGAGTATCTATATTCCAAGTTATTATCATAATCTTGTTTTCATAAATTAACTTCTTTATCTACATTCATCTATAATATTGGAAGTCTTACTTATTTAACATTATAGAAGTGGGTCGGTGCAACGCCCCTTACAGGCTTTTCATTATGTTTAGGTCATTTAACGTGTCACTTTTAGGGGACGTCTTAATATTGACACAATGATTTAAAGTATTCATGTCATAGTTTTTTGACAAAAATTTTACGCTAGTTATCAATTACCTAACATAACCCTCCATTTTCGCATCTCAGACTTGTGATCCGATAATGGAGGTGTTATGTTTAACTTCACAACTTGAACAAACTTCTCTAAATAGTTAATTCCATATTTTTTAGTAAAACATTTTGCGACCAATCTAGCTTTATATCGTTTTATGATTCCATCGACCTTTTATCTAATAGTGAATACTCATCTGCACCATACAATTGTTTTCCCTCACGGCAGATTTACTAGTTCCCATGAATTATATTTCTCAAGAGCATTCACCTCTTTAGAAATAGCCTCCTTCAATTCAAGGAGCATGTTGCACATTGTTAGAACCTCCAAACACGTGTGCGAGTTAAAAGCGTGAAAAGAACGTGAGAGATATTCATAAGTTATATATGAGAGATATTCATAAGTTATATATTGTGAAAAAAGATATTTGATGCAATACTGTGCTTCTTGTCAAAATACAGAGGAAAGATCAGAATAATTATTTAGCTCCATTTTGGGGTTAGGTAACACAATGCTTGGAAGAAGAATGTTTGGTAGAGACATTACCTGTGAGTAAGTGGATTCAAAGTAGTGCAAGGGTTGTCAAGGGTTTGAGAGGCTCATTCTATTGATTTGTACTCCATATCAAATAGACTATCAAATAGTTTTAGCAATGTAATTCTCTTATTCACATTTATAAGGTCATAATCATTGTAAGACGGGACAATGAGAAAATATGAATTGTCAATATCTAATACACATGATCCATTGCTTTCATTTATCAAAAAAATTAAAATTTTCACATTTAATAATAAAAATTGAATCTCTTTTGGTTGAAAGATGTCACGCAAATCTTGGATAGAATCCCCCTTCT